CTTTTGCTCACCTTGAGCAGAGCTAATAAATATGACAGGAGCATTAAAGGATTATTCATCTTTTGGTTTTAATGTAAGGTTAAATGTATCTAAATGCAAATGTTTTTATCCAAAGACTTTTATGTTTCAGGATAATTCACTGAACTGTGAATTAAAGAAGGTTTTAAGGCTCTGGATCTTAGGCAAAAGGCAGAAAATCTTCTAATACCTGTTACAGAGTTTTTCATCTATACATCTTGACTTGTTTTGTAAAGGAATTATCTTTTTTTAAATTTTATTTTAGTTTATTTAAATGGAGGTAAATCAAAGCAGACAAAAATTTGAAGAACTTGCAGATATTCCCAGGGTGCATAAAGGTAGAGCCAAATCCAGAAAACTGATTTCTGAGCTCTAGCATGGCTCATTCTATTTAATGAAAAGGTTTTCCTTTCCTCTTTATATGCTTCGTTGTGAAGTAAACATGAATTGTCTCTTCCCTCACATGCTATGCTCTCAGAGACAATATTTCTCCTAGGATTCAGCCTCTCAAGTGTAAAGAACAGTTTGTTTCTGTGCTTTTGGGGTTGGGGACCAAGCACCTTCTTGCTAATACAACTCAGGGATTAATGTTCCTAGATTTTCTGTGGTAGAAAGAAAGAAAAAAGTTGTGTCAGCCTGTCAGTGCTGGAGCTTGAATGATGACAAATATTTAATCTCTTTGCAATTTTTAAATCTATCTCACTTATTTAGGGAGTTAAATGAGTCTTTGGTAAATTATTTTCTTTATTATTTGATTGGTTTTTAATATTTGAAGGTCTTTAATATAAATGGAAGAAAAATTCAAAATAAGTCAATCAGAACAATAATTAAAAATACATTTAGAAAATGTTGTTCAAACAGCTAAGCTTTTACAATTTTTTTAAGGTGCTTTTTTCCCCCTAAAGCCATTTGATGAAATTAAATTGAAAAATGCTGAAGTGTTGCTAAATATCACCTGGAGTGTACAATTTCACACAGTTCTGCTTAACTTACTGGCAAGATGCTTGGAGGACTGGGTACTTCAGAGAACATCAATTCTACTGCTTTGCCTGTTCCCTCATAAATTTTTTACTTTTGTGGAGTGATTGTGACAACAAGCACTTATAGTTTATCTGTGAAGGTAGAATCAGTGGCTCATTTTTTAATTTTTAATTTCTTTTTGCTTCAACTCCCTTTTGGAGCAGGACATGCTTGGCTTCTCCCTTGTTCCTTCAGTGATCTAGTTATTTCTTCAACCTGTGTTATTCTCTGAAGAACAGGAATGTTGATGCCAGTCTATGGAAGTTGCATACTACAAACACAATTAATTTCTGTGGAGAGGGGAAGTGTCACTAGAAGTAGTATTTTAAAATTCTTTTGTTTCTGCTAAGTGAAGAAATTTGCAGGGATTGTGAGTCTGATGCTTGGGAGTCCTGTTCTGGGCAGGCTGGCAGGTTTTCCCTTTTACTCTGCAGGTTGTCTAAGCCTCCTCTTCCTCTTGCAGAGAGTAGGAACAGTATTGATTTACTGCTTTAAGTATCCATGTGTGATTCATGACATGAAATGGGGTTCAGGGTGGGTTTTGATATCCTAGGCCAGACAAAAGAAGTGGAATCCATGCAGGGGTAGAACATTCCATTGAATAATCCAGGTATTCAGCCAAAATCTGATCCTAGCACTGATTGAGAATTGGAAGACTATAAACAGATAGGAAAATCCAGCTTGTTATCAGACTGTTGCCTTTGTTACAAACCCCAAAACATAGAAAAAGGAAGTTTTCTGCCTTTTTGTGCTCCATTCTTTTGCTCATTCTGTCTTTGGTGCTGTTTTGTGCATGTTCCTACAACAGGTTGTGGTCCCTGATTTTCCTTTCATGCTGGCTGTGCATTCCCAGCTTTTTTCTTTGAATTTATTAATTAATTTTAATCTTTGACTATAAGCTGCTGAACATCCATATTTGCCCTTATAACTAGCATCCCTTCAAACACACACACACACTCCCCCCGCTCTGTGGCATATTTCAGCTCAGATCCTGAAAGGTTGGCCAAAAGGAAGGGGCAGAGGGGAGGCTACAACAAGAAGGTGAGTCTGGAGGAAATGGAAGGAAATACTTTTTGCCTTTGCTTTCTGACAAAAATCCCATATTATGCTGCCTAATTATGTAGAACTACAGTCCAAGATCTCAGTCCCTAACTAGGGACTTTCTCTTCAGTTGACCCAAAGATGAAATGATGGTCAAGGAATTGTCATGCATGTCAGAGAGAACAACTCAAGTTTTAGCACAGGAAGAGGGAGAAAAAGTGTTTCAAGCTGTCTTTAGCTGCTTTATCTAGGAAGGTAAATTGTACTAAAACTGCTACCTGAACTTTCATGTATCTTCTCTTTTTCTGTCCCGTATTTCCACACTCCTGGTATTGAGTTATTATTCAAAACCTTATTAATCATTGGTCTTCATGTGCAAAGACAGTAAATCAGAATTTGTGGGATAATGTTTTGTTTCCTCATTTTTATTTTTAAGGCTGATGCTGACAAGATTTAGGTATGGGATTAGAAAAGTAAAAAAGGAATACAGCATGTGTATGTTCAAGATGAAACATATGCTATGCATTATATCACACTGTCTTGGAACGAGCCCAAACTCTCCCATTATTTTAAGTAGAGCATGAATGAAATTACCAACTAGCCCTTCCAAAATTGTGGAGGAAGATATTTGCATAAACCTCTCAAAAATACTCATGTATCTTGTTCTTATTTTTTTGCCATTTGAGCTAGCTGAAGTGTTAGAACCTGTGTTTTCTAACAATTGGTGAGATGTAGTTGAAAAACAAAAAATTGGAGGATTTTTTTAACAGATATTTCACCTGGTGTTACTATTTACTCAGAGATTGCCTTCCTACTGACAAACTACTGGCATAATTTTCTTTCCCTGACTGCCTTTCCAAGTCAGGGCTCTTTTCTTGATGCAACTTTTGGTCTACCTGATGCCTCAAACTAGCTTCTAAAGGTACTATCAATGTTTTCTAGTGTACACACAACTTGACCTAAAATAGTAACACTGAAACTGTATTTTATGTGTGGCAGGAATCATAAAGTGAAGTGTATTATGGTCTAATGAGAAAACTCATGAAAGTCTGTGTTGACAACTTTAATATCAAATCTGTGGTCTTACATCCTTACAGTAAATGTTAGATCTGTTTCTGTTGCCAATTCAAGATGATTAGTCCTAGGACATAGGAAAAACGAGATTCCTAAAGAAATACTATGTCATGGCAGCACAATAAAAATCTAATATTTAAAGAGTTTAATGTGTATGAGTATTGGGACAACAAGATGTACCCCATCAGCTCTTAGATTAAAAAAATTCTCAAGATTAAAGCCTTCCAGATGGCATGAGAAGTGTTTTCATAGCATGGCTATATGTTTAAGAAAACATGTAGTTCATTTAACTACAGTATTGAATTACTGACACCCCCAAGCAATACTAGAAATCATGCAATGGAGGCAGAAACTAGAAAAATAAAAGAATATCTCATGGACCAAAGAGAACTATTTATTATTGATCATCAAAGGGTTGTAGACAGGTTCTTCATGTGGAAGCTAAGAAAAGACAGCTGAACAGAGGGAGTAGTTATATAAGAGTATTTAACAGCACTTTCATTTTCCAGAGATAAAATTAGAAGTGCCAGACTGTTCAAAATTTGCCTCTGCTTGTCAACTTTCTATGAGGACCACATTTCAGAGGGTCATTTTAATCAAAATGAAAGACACATCCTATTAGGACAGCTTTGCTGACAGATTATTAAGATGAATTACTAGCATACACTTGTCCCAAATGCCTTGTTGATGTCAGTTAGTAGGAGGCAATGGGAGGACTTACAGTATAGGCTTTGCTCTGTAAGAGCAATTTACAATCAAAGTTAGCAATTCTAACTAAGTGAGAATAGCTTAATCCTAGAGCTGTCAATAGACATTATTTTCAGATTCCTGACACATCTACATTAAAACAGTTTATATGTAAAAGTTAATAGGGTCTAGGATATTTCATTATGTAAAACAATCAACTGTTTTTATTGGAACAACCACATATTCTCAGTGTGGAAGAGGCAGTGGCACAATAAAATAGAACTTTTAAGTTGGGTCCATTTACAAGTTTTTATAATATCTATCAAAATAATTCTGAGTGACTATTTTTATCCTGGACAGCAGCTGGTGGACCCTTGGTCTGCCTATATAGTATGTAGACTTTGATGGTTAGTGGCTGAGCCTATTGTCTTGCTCCCTCTAACCCCACAATTCAAATTTATGTTGACATTTTTTTCTCTCAAGGCAGTGAATATTATATTGTAATTAACTGTGGAAGCTGGAATATTTGACAGGTATTTAATGACAAGTTGCCACTTTCAAATATGATCAGTATGCTGCCATGCTTGAGAAAAGATCTCATTGCTGCATCTCCAGCTAGAACAAGAAAAAAAGGCTGTTGAATCTGCCCCATGAGAGTTTCAGGTGCTTTACCTGTTTCATTTTCCCCAAACACAGACCTTCAGGCATATTCACTAGAACAGCTATGAGTCAATATTAGAAACTCCTACGTTAGGGGAACACTTCTCTAGGTATGCATGTCTCTCTAAATAACGCAAAACAAGAGCAGATATTTAATTCAGAACACATCAATTATCTTTTGTTTTATAGATGGCCATGTGAAACTTTTTCTCTGAGAGAACTAGGGGAAATTAATGTTCTGTACAATCTAAACAGAGTTGCTAAAAGTACATATGATGATAAGAGAGTAAGTACCTTTAAAAAAAAATAAAATTAAATGAGTTAGCTTCTAGGAGTATGTGGAGGAAAGAGATTTTGGGTAGGAGGCATGCTAATACAATGCCATCATCTTTATCCTACATTTTGCATAAGATGTGTTTTTGCTGTGGTATCCCTCTAAGCTTGTTGGAAATACTGCTGCATCCCACAGTATTAATACTCGCTTTTTCTCTTCAAAGCAGGGCATGAAGGCAAGCTGTAAGAGCACAGCTCCCAGGGAAATTGTGGTACTGCTTGGTCTGGAATGCAGATCTTAGGTTCTCACTGTGGTTCTTGCTAGTTCTGTGGAGGTCTGTCTGCACATCTGGAGCCAAGGGAAGCGTTTGACAGGTAGGACCCTCCCTTGGAGCCTCCTGCTTGCGTCTTTCATCCTTTTGCAATGAAGTTGCAGTACGCGTCTTTCCAATTTCTAAATAAGAAAAGGGGTCTGTCAGGAACTGCTCAGTTGTTTCTGATAACTCCAACCCTATGCTAATCATAACTCTGGCACGGTGTTTCTCCATCTGTGTGGAAGAGAAGAGCATGGGAGGAGCGGGTGGCGGTGGTGGTGAGGATGCGCTAAAGCCGAGGCATGCACCGCAAACGAGACTTCGTTGGCATGCCGTCACACATTGTTATTGTGATTAATTATGCCCCTCAGTGTGCTTAGTGTATCCTGATGCAAGAAATAAAAGGAGTGACACTGTTTACCCTGCCTTTCCCTACCGTGGTACCTGGGAATTCTCTGGCCTTGCTGTGGCTGCACTGTCTGTATCTTCGCTAGATTTGTAGCATATTTATTTTCTACAGGGGCAAACCTCTGTCTTCTCTAGAGATGTAGATCATGCTTCTTCATACAGAAGCTTTTAACTTCTGTTTTGTTGCCTGTTTCCTTCACAGGGGAGGCTCTAATTTTTGTTGCTGCATTGATGATCATCTTTGGAAAAACGTAAGTCTAATGGTGCATAGCAGAAAGAAACAAAAAAGGTAATAAATTCTGGTATATTGTCTTACTTCATGGCAAACAGAACTTGACTCTTTGATGCCTTCTTCACTGAGGCTCAACACAGGACCTTTTCTAATGTTAGAGTGAAAAGAAAGTGTACTTGGCACAAAGGAAATTGTGGAGAAAGCAATCAGTGTGGTAGGAGAGTGATGCTTTTACTGCATTTGTGATGGAACGGAACACAGAGACCAAACACTGGCTGATGTGAAAGGCTATGTATGAAGTGCTATTACTGTCACGATGATGACTGAATGCATGTTGAAATTACCTTTACAGGAATAGCAACAAATGATCTCTGTATCTTCCCCTCCTACTCATCCAAAGCTCTCAAGGCTGCATTCCTAATCAACGAAAAACAGGCATCCCACACCCATGCCAAGAGGAATAACCTGAGCATGCAAGCTCTGCTTTGGATTAAATGTTAAAATAACGTACCCTATACTGTCAGGTTATAAGAATTGATGACATAACGATAAATTCAGTTATAATTCTCTGCATCTACCCCCATGTCCTGTTACTCAAATTCCAGTGTTGCAAACAAAATTCTCATTAAGTGCTAATGATTATAATCATACAACACTTCATAGCATATCATTGTCAGTAATTACATACACACATTCTTAAGTTGGAATCTTTATTAAAAATACATTTCCTTTTAGGGGCTTCAGTCACTTGAATGTGGAGTGAAAATAAATTAGGCTGTAGCAGGCATTGCAGCTATAGTTACTACTTCTTCCATTATTGCAAGTTATTATAAGCTTGTATGATTGAAACTGCTATAGATAAGTATGCAATAATATTTTCACTGTCACCATGATCACTGACTGAGATAAGAACTTGATGTTCTATTTTTGTTCTGGATAAAGAAAAACAAGGAGGGGTAAATGGGGGGAAAGGGCTTCAAGTCTTGCAATGATATGCAAGGAAAAAAAATTTCCAAGCCTAAAGGAGGCCCACACATACGTCAATGATGACATGCAGCTCTCAGAGGATTTAGTGTTAAAGGGACGTCTGCTAATTTTATTTGCAAGAGAGAAGAGAAAGCATGCACATTCAAGATACTTGTTGTATCATTTTTAAATCAAGGCCATCTTTTTCTCGGTGGTAAACGTGAAATGTTTTTAAAGGCCAGACTTAGCATAAAATCTATTGGTTGCTATGGAGACCACTTACCACACAGGACTGCACTCTGTGTTCGACTCTGTGATTTTCTCTATTCAAAGGTTTGCCATTGTCAAAAAACAAATTAGTTTTTCAGTTGTTTATTACAAAGTTCATTATGAGAAAGGTAATAAATAATATGGTATTTTATTAGTGTGAGGGTAGGTGCCATGTGTGAATTAACCAGGGCACTATTCCTTAAATTTGCCATTTTAAAATAATTATAGCAAAATTTGCTATTGTTAGGAAATAAAACAGAATTTGATCAGTCTGTGTAAATGAACATGAAGTGAAGCAGGTAGTTGGAAGTCTGATCCCAACAAAATTACATGGTAATACGGCTTTTCACACCTACACAGCACTTAGTAACAAAGCACTGAAAGAGAAAGAAAGATTAAACCCTGTTAGAGTAAAACTTTATACCTGAGGCGCATTACTTCTTTCCTTATGAAAGAAAAGGTGGGTTCAGGACCCCATGCTCACTGAATTATTCATGCTGTCTTTTGCATCTCAGATCTTTAGGGTTGAAACTGGTAGAGGTTGTTATTATCAGGAGCACAAATCTAACTAGGTACTAGGTTCAGTGAAAATCTGTTCGGCTGTTTCTCCTGAAGTGTTTATCTAATTACAGCAAATGCTTTCTGCCAAACTGTCCAGCACACCCACCCCCAAAAAGAACACATGCAGGGAGGATGTGCAAAGTGTTTCATTTCTGGAATATATTTGAAACTGAGGCTAGTTGACACCTGGGATCTGGGTGAGAGAGACAATTCATTGAAGTATCATGGGAAGCCCTTTACATTACTTAAAGATATTTCCAAGACAAATTGATGTTAGCAAGTTCTTTCTCACTTCTTTTTTTAAATAACATTTTAGTCTAATTTCTAATTTCTTGAGGAATACATGAAAATGTTACTTTCAGCACTTGGGACTGGCTTCTATCCCCTCCTTGGTGCATTTTGTACCTTAGTGAGCCAAATTCAGAGCTGCTGCAAGAGGTACAGTTTCTCTGACTTCAGAGAAATGCTGGTGCTGCTTTTGGTGTGTGGTCTCTCTCCCATTGACAGGCCAGTGATGGGACTCTCACACAACACAGAAACAGGTCTCAGCTCAGCTTGGAGGTTTCTCTGTGGATTTTTTTTGTATTTAACTATTAGTTTGTCTTTTATGTGATGGGTAGATCTTTGTGAAGCATAGGTTGTCTCTAGTGATTTTGTAGGACCCCCCTAAACATATGAAAGGATATCTGAGACATGGTGGTTTATGATGGTCATTTTTAGAAATGCTGAGTTTGTAGGCAGGTAATGTAGTAGAGATTGCTTAATTGCAAATCTAATTTTTTTACCAAGCATTTGTGTGCATATAAGTTATTTAGATTTCACTTTCCTAGTCAAAGCACTCTCCTACTAAATACCAACTGTACAGTGTCAAGTCCTGATAATTAACGTGTTGCAAACATGCTATTAAGACAAATCAGATTGAAACACATAAGAAAAATGAAAGCATAATTTAATTCCAGCTATTGTCAGTCTCTTCAAGAATTATTATGCAGTTGGCCTCCTCCTGTGCAGCTCTGTTTTAGCAGAGCGTGCACTGTTTCGCACTGCATGCAAAGTAACTAAAAAAGAAATAAGTCTTTAAAAAGGAATGCTCCAGTTTAAACAAGCCAGTGGGGGCTACTTAGGCAAAACTAACTGGTGACACTATGTTTATAGTAATGGACAAGGGAATATGACTCACAAATGGTGCAGAAAACATATGTTTAATAAGCTTCTACTGAAAGTGTCATATTATTATTTATAATAGAAAAGTTTTACCCCTTAGAATAAGCTTTTCATTTTTCTTTGTGGTCAGGTTTGTGTTTGAGCTCTCCTGCTTAACATCTTGCCCATGTTTTCCCTCTGTTTGACTCCAGTTCCTTCAGAGAACTCAGTAGGGAACCTGTTTTCCTTCTTTGTTCTGCCAGATTTCATTAGGGTGCTATGGACTGTTAATAGAGCAGAATTTTTTGCCTACCGCATAAAATGGAATAATATTGTCTTTAATCAAAAGTAAATGTCTAGGAAGCTATCCCTATCTGAATCAGCTCTCCTCCTCTACTTCTAAAGCAGCATGACAAGGGGCAGAGTTATTAGACAAAACATTGTTTCTGGAACTGTTTTCAGATGAATGAGGCATTCCTCAAAGGCACTATATGTACAACATGAAAGAAGCAATCCTGACATGCACAAAGAGACCATTCAGGATTCCCATACAAAATTACTAGCCTAATAATATGACCTGAATCAGACATAAAGCACAAGGTATTTGTCCATGTTTTTTGAATGCTGTCAAAACTTTTACAGGAATATTCGCAAATAGGAATCTGCTTCTTGCTGCATTTTGCAGTTCTCAGTCTCTCTGATTAAACCAGTAGCTCATTGAAAAAATCTGGGGGCTTGGTTTAATATCACTGACTGTACTCTGGGTTCTGCAGAACATCTATGTTGTTGACAAAATAGTGACTGACATCCTAGTGGGAGGTAAGGCTGGTATTTTCAGTCCTCATCAAAATGAAAATCAGTTCATAGTTCAATTTGGAAGTTTCATTTAGGTTTTCCTGTGTCTATGCTTGTTAGTAAATCTTATAGTTTTCCTTAAGAGAAATTTGACAGGAATTCCATGGCTTGTTTATAGCGCATTCTATTTATAATTAATCTCTTCTTCTGATAAAGCATTAATGAAAACTGTGATACCATTTTTAGGCTGGAATTTACCTGTTTCTAGTAGTTCAGTGCAGAACTCAGTCATGGACTTTGTACTGGATTCTCTTTCCAACACATATCAAGAGCAATCTAACTCTTTGTCATCCAATGCCTTTATTCAAGAAGAAATGATGGTTTTTCTGTTAGACTGTCCCAGATCACAGTTCTGATTTTAAAGTTCAGTAATTTGAGTGAGTTGAAAGAAGGGGAGATGCTGTGTGCATGAATTAAAGGTATTTATAGAAAACAGCCATCAAATGATGACCTATAAGGCAATGATAAAGAATGAGTCTGCCAAGGTTTGTTCTGTTATTATGGGCTTTAATACTTTTATATAGAAAAAATAGTAATGAGAGAGACAAAAATGTTGAGAAACAGGAGCTGAAAATTTAAAAATGGGGGAAATTCCTTTGGAAGGACAAGTAATATATGAACCCAAATACTTGAATTGTCTAGCCCAGGCTCAAAATGCCAAAGTACAAAAACTATTCTTCTGTCCTTTACCAAGTATTGAGTAATCAATTGTTTTGATCCAGTTGTCTTCTCTTTTTTCTACTATATTTTTATAGTTAAAAATTAAGCTGGTCTATTAGGATAAACTATGCAATTTTCTGAGTCTGTAATGCCATAATACTTAGTAAACTATTTGTTGAATAATTTTGAAATGTAGCTCTGGACAGTTACTTTATTAACAGAGCATAGCATATTCTTATATGACAGTTCTTCCTTAATCTATTTGTTGTGGTTGTTTAGTAAGGCAGAATAAACTGTAGCATGTCCCTGTACTCAACCTTGTATCTTAGTGCTGCCATGCAAACATTTTAGTTACATGAGATTTTCAATAAAAATTCCACACAGGCACATTTGTTTGACCCAATATTGGGCAAACAAAACACTGGCATTGCTTGTATGGTGCCTCATCCTCCTAGAACAGATGAATCAAAGAGAATGTGCACATAACAAAAATGCCCAAAGCTACTGCAGGAAAACTCCTTACCATTTTCCCTGCCTTATGAGGGGTGGGGCTTTCTTAGGAATGATTCTGTTTCCCTTTCTCAGCCCTTTGTACTATCCTTTGTCTATCAGATTTGGAAGAACAGTGTTTGTAGTCAGAATTTTAAGGTCTGTGGAGACTCAGGGCTTTAAAATACAAGTCTAGGTTGCAACTTTATAGCTAAATAGTGAGAAATCATGGCATGTTTTTTCTCCTGTGTATAATGTTTATGAATGCCCTTACCTTTATGACCTTTCCATCTCTAGAATTTCAGAGTAATGGTTGTTTTACTTACTACCCACATGTTGTGTGGAAAATACTGGCTCCTTCTTTTCTGTGAGGAACCTAGGTTGTGTGGGACTTCAACAAAAGATGGTGTTAATAGTGGAATAGTGTTAAATATAAATGAATCTACAAAAAAGTGGCAAGAGTGGTGTTGAAAAGACATTGAAATAGCCAGTTATTTTTGTGAGACTTCTGGAAGATTTTCATTATTTTGGGTTGAACTTTGGATCTGAATTTATATCCAGACTGCCCTTGGGAACTGCAATTCAGCTATCAAATACCACTGGCATTTAGCCTTAGTTTGGGGAATAGATAGGAATAGAGCCAAAGCTGCAGTGAGAGAGGATAAAAAAGGGACTGAGCAAAGCAGACAAAGTGGCCAGCCGTAATTTATTAAAAACACAAATATGCATTTGTGATTCTTCTTGTAATGTTCAGTGTTTCTATTTGGTTACAATTTTGCTGCCTTTTTCACTCCATTCTTTAGGTTTTTCTGAAGGAATTCTATCCCCAAACTACAGCCCAGTAGTGAGTTCTGGGATACAGAAGTCCCTGAGAGTACAATGTACAAGTACAAGTAAAAATTGGATAACTTCACTCTTTTGGGGACTGAGTGGGATTTTGTCTTGTCCAGGTTAAAAGTGGGAAACTGTTTTTTTCCTGCTTTTACTATTACATACTCTTATCATCCACAATACTTTAAGGTTAAATGTACATATTTATAAGAAGTAACTTTTTATCCTACACCTGCTGGGCAAGGAAATCTTTTCATGAGCTTTAGGTATCCAACAAGTTGTGTAAGCAAAAAAAGTTTCCCTCTGTCTAGTGGCCTCTACTTGTGTTGAACAAACGGCTAATTTAATATATTGAACATTCAAATCAAAACAGAAGTAATTTTTAATGGTTCTGAAGAGCAATGAAACACTGAAGTATGGATCCATTGGTTTGTGTTTTTCCAGGTTCAAGATGCAATGATTTCTAAATAGCTACAATTCACTTAATAAAGGCAAAAACCCCAAAAGAGTATAATCAAAACTGTTTATTTTAAAATGAAGACAGAAGCAAAACTTTATCAACTGCACTGTAAAGGGACAGGAAAAAAAATATTGAATCCTGTGAGTTATAATTATTGAAATTGATTTGTTTCACTTCAAGAACATTTGTTAATCATTGATTTGAGTTCGTACAGTCTCTGACCTCACTATGCCAAAAAAATGAAGATGAGTTTAGTTAGATTTACTTGTACCACAAGGGGCATGGAAAGTACAGAAGAAGGAAGTATTGAATGTATATTAAAAGATTTACATTAAAAATTTATGTACATCTGTGTTTAAACCATGACTAATTGAGAAAGACTGCGTTGAACTGGCTGGTGTTCTGATGCACCATACTGAACTTTGTGTGCTGGACCCTCTGAGACAGAGGGATGTGCATACTGTGCAGATCCCAGAGCACTGTACACTTCAAGCATATCTTCTGTCTATTTAAGGTAGAAGATTTTTTAATTTGTATGTCTTGGATTCCTTTTTCTGTCAAATGACAGTACTTATTTTAGTTGCTATCAGATTTCTAAGTAGCTCACAGATAAGAATAACTTTTCCCTAACTGAGAAACGTGTAGGTTTATAGGCTCTGTTTTGTGTCACGACACATTTAAAAATCATTTGAATTTTCTAATGAATATGAAAATTAAAAGATGGATTATTTCAGGAAGATATGTCAGTATTGGTGACAACATCCATTACCTTCTTCGTGCCAATGCGTTTGCAAGTTTAATACTGCGTGACCTTGAAACTTGCAGGCTGTTTGCTGTAGAGGGGACCTGACTCTAGCAAGCACTGTTTGGCACCAAAGCAAATGGCATATAATTGCTTGAAATACTTCTAAAGGAATAAAAATAACATAAATTTTCCTTCATGACCGACAAGATAGACCTTAGTCTACAGAGGTCCTCCCTTCCCTTCCTCTCATGTCCTTTTGTTTTGGGGCAGTTCTCTGTCCACTGAACTAAGTGCTGCTTTCCAGAAATCATGACACACTAATTAATTCCTCAGTTGAGGCACAGCCTGCTGATTTGTAATGCTTTCTATTCATACTCATTTCAAATGATTGTTAAATCAGAGCACTGAACACCCACATTTCTGCCGTGTTCCTTCAGCAATGTTTAACAAATTGGTTCTCCAGAATTCTCTGTTCCCTTCCCTGAAGAACTGCTGCTCCAGTGAGCATGATGTCAGTCCTGTCCCACTGCAATAGTGACATTCACCTCAGCAAAGTCTGTTTATAACTCAGTGTTGTAGTACCCCCTGCTCAAATCACAATTAGCCACCTCTGCTTGCAAAAGTTGTCATCACGTTTTTCTATGACTGAACAAGGCTCTGCATATGAGCATGCATGTATCCATGGCATTGCACTTGTCCCCATTTAAAAACAGATTTGATGGTGGAGGAGTATTTCCTCCCAATGGTATTAGAAACTGTATCTAAACTACCATGCCAAAAATCCTCAATAATTCTACAAATGATGCCTAGCTGCACTTACTGTACCTTTCTGTAATGTGTATGCATGAAAGAACAGGGCGATGATGATTTTATTGTGTCAGAAGATGTCATCACATAACTAGACCTTAAAATAGCAGCAAATCTAGCTCTAGAAAGAGTAGCTGTAACCAGTGTACTGCTACATTAAATTGTGTATTTGAGTGCTGAGAAGTTTGAACTAATTCCCCTGTTTGTAAGTATAGGTACAACTTTGTAGCCCATAGTAATTTTGTTTACTGCCCAGAGCATGTTTCTGGATGTAGATTCCTTATGCTTTCACAGAACAGCCACTTTCTCTTTAAGCTGAAGGGCAGGGGAAGGGGAAAGCAGGCTCAATGCACGACAAGAAAAATTTAGCCTCTGCAAAAAATGCTGGATTCTACTAGACAGTGTAATTAATGAAAGGATTTAGAAGAAAGAGCCTATGGAACTCTTTAAAGCACAAAAAAGGGACATTTATCTGGATTATGTCTCTTGCTGCAGTTCACATTTTCAGCTGGCTCCTTGTCAGTAGTAGCTTATGATTCTGTTAGCTTTACACAGGGAGAAATCATACCTAGATGATAGATGTCACTTGTGGAGTTTTCTTTGTTGTTTTTTTTTTCCTATGCTCTCAGGCTGTAGTGTATTAGCAGGTTATTGTCCTGTAACATTGAGACAGATGTAACAAAGTTAATTGGTAAATAGGTGAATATTCATTTACAAGCAGTTCTGAGTCGTTCAGTATTCTTATGACTTCTGCTTATGGCAAAAAATTGAGGTGAAAAAGTAGATGGCATAAACTCTGAAAAAAACCCAGACAATCCACCTGCCTCATTTTAATGACTGAGGCACAGTGAGAGATGCAAGACTGATATCTCCAAGAGTTGCAGATCATAGTCTCGTGTCATGGAGTTAATTCAAGGAATGGGTTTTAAAGGGGAGGTATTTGTTATTTTGTGCTTCAATGAGTTGGTGTTTCATAGAGATACCTGAACTAAGGAGATAAACTTCTTAGCCATTTGATACAAATAGACTTTTCTCTTTTCACCTTTCCACATAATGCCTCTCTGCCAGAGTTTTTGTTGAACAGTGAAACCTGAAATTAAATTATACCAAAACACACACTTGCTGTGTCAGCCATGTTTCAGTAATGTAAATTCAGACAGATAACTTGTGGAAGATCAGATGGAGAAGAGTTTCTGTACTGTAGGTGTTGCACCAAGCTGCATGGTGGTGTACAACTCATCAGGAATGCTTGGACTCTTGGGTTGATAGAGTTATGAAGTCTTCAGTTGTTGATCATCACAGCAAAGAGACTGCAGACTAGCGACATGAAGGGAGAGTGTGCTGGTTTGTAAAGTGCTTGGAAAATACCTCCAAACACAAGCCTCTGGTTCTGATTGCATGTTCTTGTTCAGTGTGATTTTTTTAAGAGTCTTTGTTTTCATATGTTTCAGCACAACTGTGAGAAGATTTTAGTTGCAGGGACTTCTGCAAAGGGTTAAACAAAAATAGAAATTTTCACTGTATCATAGAGGCTTGTTTCAAAGTCCAAATCACTTTTTGTCCTTTTGCAGACATGGCTTATGTTCCTTCTCTGAATTCTGGGTACTTGAACTTATTCCTGTAAGTATTAGTTTCTGCTGTTTTCTACTGATTTTTCTTCTCATGGGGTGAGCTGATGAACTTAAGGAAGGCCTTTGTATATAATTTTTGCATTATTGCTAATGTGCTATTGTGTGCTTTGACAGCATACACTGAAAATGTTGGAGTCTCTCTCTTCAGTTTTGATACTGTTTTTCAGATTTTAGCTTCTTGCAGCAATGATTGGCTTCATTTCTAATTCATATGGAGATGTAGTAGTCTGTTTTGCAATGCTGACTAGAAATTGTAAATGCAATATAGACCACACACAGTTTACTGTAAGAAAAATTAATAAAATATCTGTCTTCATTTCCAGGCACTATTTAAAAACAGTAATAAATCAGTGTAACTCTCTGTAAAGTTTTAAGATTTATTAAAGACAGCAGCTTTGTTCAAAATAGCAAAAGTGCATCTCCATTAATTCTGCTATATGTTGTTCTCAGATAAGACTTGTTTTCCACCTGACAGGAGTCCTAAACTTAAACATGTTTATTATGGATTTAATATTGGAGGTGTTTATGTTCATGTCACAGAACTCAAAACTGAATGTGAATTAACTATAAATTTTGACACTGTCTTAACTATAGAGCAACATACAGACTCTGAAGATAAAGGTGTATTAATCCTCTTAAAAGTGGTTGAAGCTCAGATGACTTCCTATTTAACTTGCCTAGGCCTTGAGAATGATAAAAATTCTGGAGTCTTGGAATCACTTCAACCAGTCTGTCAATACATGAGATAAACTGGTTTATGTATTGAACTTTCCCTTGGCCCTTTTCAACATGTGCCATGGACTCCTCAGGATCATTGACTCCAACTCCTGGCCCTGAGCAGGACCACCCCTAGTCACACCCTGTGCCTGAGTGTTGTCCAAAAACTTCCTGACCTCTGTCAGGCTGGTGCTGTGACCCCTTCCCTGGGGAGCCTGTTCCAGTGCCCAAACACCTTCTGGGTGAAGAACCTCTTCCTGATATCCAACCTAAACCTCCCCTGACACAACTTCAGGTGATTCCTCGTGTCCTGTCACTGCTCACCTGGGAGAAGAGATCAGTGCCTGAGCTCTCCCCTCAGTCTTTTCTTCTTCAGGCTGAACAGACCAAGTGACCTCAAGTCTTCTCACACCTTCCCCTCAAAGCTCATTGCCATCCTTGTTGCCCTCCTCTGGACACTTTCTAACAAAGTAATGTTGTTTTTTTTTACATTGTGGCACTCAGAACTGCCCCCAGCACTGGAGGAGAGGCCGCCCCAGTGCAGAGCAGGGCGGGTCAATCCCCTCCCTTCCCTGGCTGATGTCCCCAGGACAGGGTTGGCCCTCCTGGCTGCCGGGGCACAATGACTCACATTCAATTGCCATTGACCTTATTTTCCCCCTCTTTTTCAATGATAATCCTTAGTTTCTAATGTCTCCACTGCATAGAGTTGCAGGTAAGTTTGTGGAGTTACTTTATTTTCCATGCTGAATCAGATTGAATCTTCTGGATTGTAGCCAAAAGACACCTGCAAACATTTTTACTATCTGATCTTCTTAGTCCCTCTGTTGTTGTGACAGTTTGTCTCCTATGGTATCCAAATTTTTTCACTTGTGATGATAAAGAGCTTCAGCTCCAGCTCAGTTTCCACCTGGTTCCTCTTGTCAGGTTCATAACATAGGCAATGCACTTAACCCAGTTATTTAACTATTACATTTGAAAACAGTTTTGCTGAATGAAATAACAGCAATGCTTCAAACCTCAATTAGGCCACTGTGTTGTATTGTTTCTGCTAATCAGGCTGGTTCCTAGCAGGCTCTCTTGTTTGGGCCAGCCTCACCACATCTTTTATCTTTTATACTAAATCTAGGGCATGGTGTGGTATTGAGGACAGCTTGTCATAGCTGGACTTTACTGGGTTTAAGATGGCTACATCTTGGTGGTTACAGAGAAATGTGACCAGGGAGAAGCATGTGGATTTTGGTAGCAATCCCCATTGTTAAATAAGGCAAACAGCAGCTGCTGGTATAGGGTTTTGTGACGTGGCTGATGGGTTTTTTTTGCATCTGCTATTGAGTCTGGCTTAATCATTGGACCAGGTCATTTGTTTGAAATGGTAAAGTATAGCTTTCAGCAACTTGATCCATGTAAACGATAAAGTTCATGCCTGGGTTTTGTTGTGAAACTTGCCCCTTCATTGTCTGGCTTTCTTCTTGGATACTGCAAACTGGAAAAAAATTTTCTGTCAGCTATTACCGTGGCATTTATGAGATGTAAGGATAGGACCTCAGTGAAATGGGAGAAGCTATTTATTATAGTACCGAGTCTGATATTCTGCTAAATTCTTCTTGAACAGACTAATTGTATCCATGTTCATTTTCTCAGAGGGATGAGAATTATATGTGGGATTAGAAGGATTCAGGGAAATTTTCCAAAGTCAGCCCTTGTCAATTGAGGCTGTTACAGGGAGAAACTCTGTATGTTCTTGTAAAATATTGTTCTTGTAAAATACTGTTGAAGTAACTGGGGCTTGTTTAATCTCCTGGCCTTGCCAGTGTAAACGTTTTAGTATTTCATGTGTTCTTGTGATTTCTGTGATTCGAAAAGAACAGTATACTGGATCCTATTTTGGCTATCAGCAAGAAGCAAAAGCTAAAGACTTGTCCGTTCCTCTTTACTGCTCTAAAATTTCTACTGGAATGTCCTAGAATATTGGTACTCTGATAAGGTTTCCTTTTCTTCATTCTACCTGACACCTTATCTCTGCTATCAACAGGTTTAGAATCTTGTCCCTGGCAATTATATCACTGGCTTCTGCCCTGTTATGATGGAAGAGGTTTTTTCTCTTGTGTTTATAAGTGACCACAGGATTCATGTCGGATGGCATCGGGGAAAATATTACACTGAGAGAGACCTCTGAAAGTGTCTAGTCATGGGACCATTCTGCAAATAATTATAGTAAGCACAGAAGCCTGAAAAGGATGTGTGGAAACACCTCATGATAACAGTAAATGTTAAAAAGCAAAATTAAATAACCCCTGTATGTATGCATACACATCTGCATGTATAATCATCTTAATTCCTCCTCTCCAAAGTGAGTAATTTTGATGATCAAACAGGTTTTCCCTTACCCACATCTTTGCTGCTTGAACAGCCCTGATTATAATTAGTCCCTTATGCAAATGGCATATGAAGCCTTGGGAGGAGAAGGGCCTTGGAAGCAGGAAGGGAGTTCCTTGAGAAAATATCAAGAGATAAAGAGAGGAGTCCAGATTCTTGGACATAACAGATATTTGCACTGCTGGCAGAGCTTACAGACCTCCTGTGTCATGTGGATCCATTTGTTTATGCCTGTGCCTGCATCTGTCACAGACACACACCTCTCATCCAGAGAGAAAAGATTCACAGGGTTCCCTGTCAGCCTCTCCCCCACATTTGGGGCAAACAAAGCAACCCAAGGCAGACACAAGGAGGAATGCAGACTGGTAGGGACCCCTCCAAGTCTCTGCTCAGCCTCCTGCTCAAAGCAGGGCTATCTCAAAAGCTCAATCAAGTGGCACAGGACCTTTTTCCACAAAGCCTTGAGGGTCTCCAGAGATGGATTTTCTGCAGCCTCAGTTGCAACTGCCTGACTCAGGGCTTATCCTCCCTCTTTGGGAAAGCTTTTTGCTCCATTTCCCAGACAACTCTGTCCTTGCTCCAACTTGTTAGCTCCTGTCCTTTTCCCCTATGCACCTCTGCAGAGAGCCTGTCTTCTCTGTGGCTCCTGGCAGGTATTTGAAGGGAAAAAATTCCATTCCCCCTGCGTGCTCTTTCCTATGCTGCACCACCCTTGGGCTCTGCTCTAGATTTTCTCCAGGCTGTCAAGATTGGTCTTGCTCCAGGAGGTCCCATATCTGGACACTCAACTCTTCCATTTTCTCTGTAGTGCTTAGATTTAGTACTGTGTTCACAGGGATTTCTGGGAAGAGCTTTCTAATACACTGGATTCTACTTAGACCAGGATCCTGATTATGGGTTCACCTCGCCAATAAGATTATTACGATCAATTGCTGTCCTTTACTGTGCTTTTCCAATGGTAGATGAAGTGTTTATTTCACAGTGTTTATTTAGCAAACTCAACACAATTATAAAGCTTGGAGAGATAACTAAACAGAAAAGAAATTAAAATTTATAATTTAAAATGCCTCTATTTAACTCACATTACCACCCCAATTTCTTTTTATAGCACAGAGCTGTTTATGAGAGCCACTTGGATTTACTGCTTCTTAGTCATTATCAAGGAGCAGTTTTTACCATTCTGCTAGGTTATGTTCCCTAGTTTTGGAAAACCATATGTCCTTTTGGCAAGGCCAGATACAGCTACTACTTGTCTAAAAGTGAACAGGATCAGTTCACTGTTTTACTAGCTTGAGGCTAAGCCCCGATGCAGGAGTGAGGTATAATGGATGAAGTATAACACCTTGCACTGTGTTCCTGACCTCAGGCCCAATCATGAGTTGGTGAAGGTCTCTAAGTTCCTTTTTTTGATAACCTGCATGAGCAGGATCATGTTGTCGTTTCTGATGAGCAGCTGCCACTCTTTGGATAATGCCTCGCTCTGTTCTGCCCCTGCTGTCTCCTGTGTGGGAGAAGCTGGCTGGGCCAGTGCCTGGGAATCCTTCATGGGACCTTTGTTTTACCTGTACAGATGCTGGGATGTCCCCTGCCTCAGTAGTCCTGTTAATGTTTTCCAGTTTGAGAGGCTTTAAATGATGTTTGCTCAGTGATAGTTCCCAGTACACTCCATTGGGTGTATACATCATTTTGTGAAAAGCATTTCAGCTGAGGAAAATTGTTTCATCTCTGGACTTGTTGCAGGCTTCTATTTGTTGCTGTTTGTTTGTTTGTTTGTGAGTTTTGTTTGTGGTTTGGTTTTGGTTTTTTTTTTTGTTACTGTTGTTGGTTGTTTGACCTGTTTTAAAAGACAATCTTCAGGGAGAATCTTCCTTGATGGCTAATGATTTGTTTGCTAAAATATTTTAATTTTGTTTCATCTGTTAATTCCCTCCTGGTTAAAATTTCAAAGCCTCATCTAGTGGTATCTTCTAGAAGCTCTACTATCTCCTAATTACAGCTTATCTTCAAATCCCTACAAAACAGCTGTAATCAAACTTCTATTGAATGTCCTGGTGTTTTGGGGCTTTTTTTGAGTTAAGGTACATGTATTGATAGTTATTCCTAGATCTACTTACAATTTGAAAATTTGGCTTCAAAACTTATGTGAAATTTACCCTCACAGTTAACTGCAGAGACAAAATAACTTACTGTACCTTCACTAGCATATAATTTAAGGTCTTTAGAGATCTGTGTAACAATTTCATTTGCACTCTTTTTAGAGTCATCGATAAAGTAATTTATTTCTGTTAGATTTGATGCTTTATTGGAAGTGCAACCTTTCATACTAGTGTAACTTTGCTAACATTATGGTGTTCTCTCTCTGTTTTTATCTTGCTAACATCTTAAGTAAATTCATATGCTGTTTAATAAACTGCATTCCATGAATTCCAGTAGTTGCATATCATGCATGGTCATCACTTGTAAGCAGAGCCTTTCTCTGGGGGAGTCTGGGATGTTTTTAAAGAAACCCAACCAAAACTGGTGCTCTTTTCACTTGTTAGGTTAGTTTAGGTTGATGTTGCTTTCTCAAGCTGTCATACCCACACACACATTCATGTTGTGGAAAGATTTCTTGGTTCCAAACAGTTTCCTTCTGTATATGGACTTCATTTTCTGCAGACAATCATTCCTAAACAGCTCTGTAAAGAGCTGAGGGTAAAGCATCTCTTTCAGGAGCTTGGGGATTAATACAGGCAATTCTATCAGAAATTGCTCTTTATTAAAGAGTGATGTGCCTAAGTCCAGGAGAATCAGCAAAAACCATCTTTCCTTCCTAGAAAATGCTATTTTCATTTAAATCTGATTTGGTTTTATCACATTTTTTTTCTGTTCTGGAATAAACCTTTCTGGAAATAAACCACAAGAAAGCTCCCTTGAAGCAAGGTTTTGCTACTACTTTCTTCGCAGTTTTGAAAGAGTTTATTCAGGCTTTTGTACCTTACTCATCACCATAGTTTCTCTGAATGCTTTCCAGAGGATGCCAAGTGATGTGCATAATATCTGACATATGTGGTTTGTTATCTGTCTGATTGCCTTCCCAGAAGGAAAATTCTAAGTGCGGTAGTATGTTTGCTTTTGAAGGACTTTGGGGATAGGAGACAGTTCGTCTAGCCTTTGATTAGAAATTCTTGTTACTTTTCTGACCCTTCAGCAAATCTTGCTGAACTACCAGGCAGTCAGTGGCTGCTACATTTTGCTGTTAATTCTAGGAAAAAGCAGAAAGCAGTAACATTTCAATATTTATTCATGTTCCTTTAAGGAGCCTTAAGTGACAACTGACTTCTCTGTTAACGGAGGAACAGTAAAGGAAACAGTGAGATGACAAAAAATCCAACTAGCTGATATTAAATAGTTCACCTTAAGGTACTTACTGTTTATATGAACTCCTGGTTTCTGCTAACAGTCATATTATTGGACTGTTGCAAGACCTGACTTGTTTCCATTGTATGTGCAGGGTATGTAGTTGCAGGGGAGGAGAGCCATGGCTCAGGTGAGCTACTGGCAGGAAAAATGCCACGTGCAGACATGTTTCACTTGCATTGCTTGTACTTTTTGGCAGCAAGACAGTTCAACCTATCAGTATTGAACCCATGCATTCTAAATGTTTTCTTTCCATTTTACTGTCTAGATGCAGGGAGCTGTATCTTTTACCATGATTGATACGCAGCTATACCTGTTCTGGCGTGATAATGGCATTTCTTGTTGATAATAATCTCTTCCTTCCCACAAAAATCTGTCACCAATAGCATGGACTCCACCTTTCAGAAAAGCAGGAGCAAAGGCAAGACCCAGACAGGGCAAAGGTTAGCAAGTAATTTCCTATTCTCGCTTTAGATTTTCTTTGGTGTTTATGTACATGCCAACTTTAAAACCTGTTAATATTCTTACACAGATCTTGGATCCTCTTGTCTTTCTCCGTTTTACTTTCTTTGCTTTAAGTCTCTGGTATTCATTACACTATGGTTTGATGCATAGCCAGGCTTTGGAGTCTAAGAAGGCCGTTTTGCAAACTATTAAACTAAGAAATAATCTGGTTTTGTAAAACCACATGCATTTCCCCTCTTCTTATTTTGTTTCCAAAATTAGCCTTGCAAATGGAGCTTTGGGGCTGAACAAGGAATTGCTGAGATTTCTTCCTCCGCACCTACTCCAAAGGTTGAAGATGAATCATTGTGTTTCCTGGAGGAGCGTGGGGCCTGGCAAGTCTAGTGATTCAAAGTGAAGCCTTCATAGACATTACCAGTATTTTTTAAGCCCTGCTGTCTGGCACAGATCTGGGTTGTTTTCTAGAAAGTTAAGCTGCTTAACTGGTCTCTGAATGGTGACAGCAGATCAGGAGTTATGGCCCAACTTAGACGTATTGATCATGGGGTGGGAGTCTGGCAGTGAAAAGGGGAGGAAGAGAGAGGATGAATCCAATGAACAAGAAGAGGTTGCACTTTCTGTAGATGCAGGTGCTGCATGGGAATCAGGGATTAGAGGGCACAAAGGAGACAGGGAGTTCTAAAGTCAGGTGAAAGAAGGCATTTATGGAGAATAAGGGGTTGGTCATAGGATGGCAGTATTGGTCAGAAAAGGAAAGGAGAAATAGTTTGTACAATATGGAGGAGGAAAATAGAGGTGGCAGTTCTCAGGTATAAGTAGCCTGTCATGCTGAAATGCGGAAATAAGTTAAATGCCACATCTGCCTTCCAGTTATTAATTTATTAGAGAAAGACAATTGTGATTAAGTCCTGCAATAAGTGTGAAAGTGTTTTTGTAATTGTAGCAGTGCATATATGGGTCTGGATTTACTTTATAGGTGGGTTTTTTGCTTAATCTCATTAATATTCTAGGAAGGTCATTCTGGTGATGTACTGCTTCTGTATGAAATTCCCTTCAGTCTTTACAGTGTCTTCTATCATGAGATTCTCTGGAAGGACCTGAGGGACTGAGTAGATAATCAATTAATTCAGGTAAACATTTATTATGTTTTTCTTTTCAAAAATGAGAGAGT